AAATCAACAGGGTGAGATGCATAATAATAGAAAGTGATGACGAAGATGCCGTGAGGATATGAGGCACCAATGCATGTAAATCACGAAAACGGATAGTGTAGGGACTCTAGGGAGGTGTATGGAGTGTCGGAACACGCAGAGCAAGAGGGTCTGAGACTGATTGATCGCAATAGTGTGGTTGACGACGTAGATCGCGGATGGAGCAAGATGAGACCTTGAACTGGATCTCCACCAATTTTTCTCCTTCTTCCTCCGTGGGACTCCGTTCTACTACTACTATCTACTACTAACAGCACTACTAACTGTTCGACAGCAACTGTGCTGAAGAGCTAACCTCAATAGTAGCAGTTAATTAACCCCCCCGAAAATCAAATTCGATAGATAACAACGACAACGGAACAATTTGCTCTGCCATCAGTCATGCTTACTATGTAACCGAACAACGACTACATATTTCACCGAATATTCTCCTCTCCCTATTTTCCTTCTAAGCGGCGACAACAACAACAACAACAACAACTACTACTCATGCCAAGGCTCACAACAACAAAAAAAGGAACTTGTGCCAAGAGCACACCCTAATTCTTCCTTGATAAGAAGGTTAAAACGCTACTACTAAATCAGCACTAAAACTACTACCCATAACCCATTCCTTCAAATCCATCCTCGCTGCGTCGTCCTGCACTAGCGCCGGAACCGCGAACTAAACAAGCAAATCAGGGGTCCCAAGCACACCATAACGTCCCTTTTTCCTCTTCTTTTTCGGCCCTTCTCTTTTCTCTTTTCTCATTTCTTTTTCGATGATCATCGTATACCAAGTGATCCGGCAGTAGTGTGCGGATATCATAATTAAACTGAAATATTCTTATCTTCACTATTTTTCTACGATTATTTATTTGGGCATCACTACTATATAACTAAATCAACTTGAAGACATGACAAGAAAAGGATTAAATATCTACGGAGTATCTATACTACAAACTAACTACGATGAAATATAGACTAGTGGGTGGCTCAGCAGAGAAATTTCTCCAACTAGTAGTAACAGTAGTAAGTAACTTCACGAAAGTTATTATTTATTTATCTACTATTTACTTCAGGCTCAGACTCAGACCTCCCCCCTCTCTTGAGTCCCTCTCTACCCGAAACACCAATTCCGACTGGTTAAAGTTCCCTGCAAAGTGGAGGCGATGATCTACGCCGGCGGCCGCCACTTGAGACGGGCGGTCAATCGGGAGGCGTACGGGAGTAGAAACTGTTTAGTTTTTGTGTTTGGGGCTGGTCCGGTCCTGTCTTCTTGTTTCTTTTCTTGGCAGAGGTGGTTCTCGGATGGCTGATGTTTGAGGTACTGTGTGTTGTGTTGGATTATGTGTTGTTGTGTTGAGACGGTGAAGATATATTCCATCCATCCATCCCATCAGTTCGTAGAATTTATGATTCATGCAGTGGGTGAGTATTTTAGTTTATTGACTGCCTCTTCGTATTCAATGCCACCACTACGTACCACTACCACTACTGTGGAAATAAGTAAGTAAGCACCTTCTGGACCAGATCGGGATCTAGACAGGATGTGAGCCGACGACTGAAGAAAATAATAAAAATAAAGAATCGAAAAGTATAATTAAATAAATAAAAAAGAGAATTAAAAAATAGAATGAATAAATCAAAATGGGAGAGACTAGAACTAACTAGGTTATTGTTATCACGGCGCGGCCCTTGTTCAAACCAACTCAATTCGATCCGGTATCTTCCGTTTCACTTTCTTTCTTTGCCTAGAAACTCTACATCTAGTACTACTTATACTGGTAGATAGGTAGGTATTCCGTCATTATGCACTTACATATTTAGTACCTGTCAGGACCTGCAGATAACAGAATAAAGAAATGAAGTAGAAAAGAAGAAGCAAAAAGATATATATTAAAGCTTTTTTTATTATGCCCCTTGTCAACTCACACATACTCTCTCTCTCTCCTTTAGCGAGGTTTAATTAATTGACTTACTGTAATTATCCCGCTCCCCTCCCTCTCTCCGTTTGTGGCCAAACCCGAGAACCAGTCATATTGCACAGCCCGAGCGAAGTATGTATGTATGTATGCATGCATACCTCGCTGCATGCTTACACAACCGGTTCTGCCACACATTTAGTAGATAGATACCGAATGATCTGTTGTATTACTGTACTCTCTCGGTTTAGTGTGCTACTATCTTCCGACACGACCAAGTATCTTGGCCTGAGGCCAAGACCAAAAAAGACCAGGAATTCGGAAAAGCCCAAGAAAGAAGAAACAACTATCTAAATTCGGGAATTGGTTGGGATTGTCTTCCAAGGCTCGGGTATGCAAGCCAAGACAACACGAGAGAATGAGAAGAAATCTTGCAGTGTCGGTTGTTCTCGACCTGTCCATCTATCTATCTGTTTGTCTGTCTGTCTGTCTGTCTGCCATACTGCAGGAGGTATCGATTGTTGGTTAGGCTGAAATCGGTGATTATCAGTCATTCATGACATACCTGTGCATTTGGCTAGTTAGTACACAGTAGGATGTCGTCACATCAATATCACTAAACGCTAATTTATCACAACTATACTAGCTAGTTAGTTAGCTATCTACTGACTGTAGATAACTAGTATACGTCTACAGTAGCAGCTTGACAGGCCTAAACTAGCACTACCACTACTACAAATACAATTAATTTATTCCAACAACAACACAATAGTAATATACACATACATATGCACTTCATCTATTTTTAATACTACTAGTAGTAGTAGTAGTAGTAGTAGTAGTAGTAGTAGTACCCGCCAGGTTTGCGCACGTACAACACTTCTGTCATCGTCATTATTATCTTCAGGGCTCGAGCAGCAGCAGCAGATCAGATCAATTAACATACTCGGTATAGCGTAAATGTATTCTTCACATGGGACCTGGCAGACACATCTTCTCCTCTCACACTTTCTCTGCCTATCATTCTCATTGAAAAGTACCTTGACGTGCCGATATCTGAGACATCCCCTCCCTCCCTCCATCCATCATCCTTCCAAAATTCCATATGCCCGTTTGTAACCACTCACAGGATTAAAACCAAACACAGATAACTGAATAAATAGAAAAGAGATAGATAGATAGATAAAGACCCCTGTTACACAGTAAGCGAAGCACACAGTAGAAGGTAAACTACCTAATGACTCTTCACTAATCCTGCACCTATAAGTCTTGGCTGCAGCCCGAAAGGAGGGCCAATTAATTTATTCACCAACCTTCTGCTAAGGTGTCCCGTTTGCCTCTTTCCCCCCTCTTCGCTTTTCTTCTGTTCGCTTCGCTTTCGAAGTACGCAATACACTGCACGGGAGTAGAATCCCTGTCTTGCCGGTGCCGACCAGAAGGATTTGGTTGCTCGGTATGGTGGCTCCTCGTCGGGATGAGGAGGAAGGGGGGGGTTTTTTTTTTTTTTTTTTTTTTTTTTTTTTTTTTTTTTTTGGGGGGGGGGGAGGTAAACCTGCTTTCTTTCTATTTTATTTTATTTTCTTTTCAACTATAGAACTGAATGTGGAAGGGACGGAGGGAGGAGCGTTACACAAAAAGTACTATTATCTATTTATACCATATCATCAAACTTATCAATCTATATCACTCCTGTGTTATTAACCTTCAATAGGATGGAGATATTTCTTCTTCAACATTAACTAGTATAAGTATATCATCGAAAGTTAAGCACACCCCCCTCTTCATAGTACTCACCACTAGACATCACTACCACTAGATACCACCAAGTAAAATGAATTCAGCCACCTCGATTCCTAGAAACCAGGGTTACCCCCACAACCCGAAAGCCATCACCAGAATAAAATGCAACATCGGGAAGCCGACGGACAGACCGGCATGCAGACAGAGCAGTTAGGACACACACGGGATGTTTCAGCTTTCTAAGCCACACACACATCGTTGGATTGGGCCGAAAAACTAAAGCAACTAATATGGTAGCTAAGACTACGGATATTAATTAGTTGAGTGACAAAGTATATTATAGTATAGGATGGTATAGTATACCGGGATATGAATGACCCTAAGTCGCGGCTAACTAGCTAACTAACTAACTAGCTAACCAAAGTACGTATGTACACAGTAGTAGCAACGTAGTAAGTAGTAATAGTCTAGACCAGGACTAAATACAGACAGCCATGCACGATTGCATAATCCCAATCCCAATAACTTTGAACGATAACAACGAAGAAATGTGATTGATTGGCCTTACAGGGTCAGACACTAGATTTCACTCACAAAGCCAAACAGAGTAGGTGATGTACACAGCCTACTTACTTGCTTGCTTGCTTTCTAGCCAAAGTATATTATTATTATTTTATTATTGTGGTAGCCAAATAATGATTCATAATGATGATGATGGAAGTGATTGTCTGTCACGGCTGCTTGAAGCGGCAAATGATCTGATCCTATCGGATATTCATCAAGTTAAGTTGATCTTTCGTTCCCGGCCCGGTGCCAAGCCCCAACCTTCCCGAAACATGGACTACTATCCTTTTGCTCGGCCATACTGGCTGGGAGGATTCCGGGTATGTCCGATATGCCGATTCCATTCGGTTTAGTTTTGTTGCAACTTGTAAGTATGTGCTTGGTGAGAATTGAGAAGGTTTCCCGGGTGTCCTCAGTCATCTCATCTAGGCTAGTTTAGTTTAGTTTAGTTTAGTTCAGTCTGGTCAGTCTTCAGGCAACCATCCTTCAGCTACTAACTAGGCTTCTAAGCGGGCCTGCACGTTGGCACTCACTCCATTTTATTGAGTTTGGACCCTGCCGTGCTGGGTAGTACCAGACTCCATCTAGATTAATCTACTTTGTAGGATTCTGCTACACGGAGTCCGTGGGTTGCAATAACTACGGTGTATGTAGATCATGACTCCGACTACAACATCAGTTTCAAAGCAAGAAAGAAATTTAGACCAAATTTACAAGTGAACCTAATTACTTCCTTGCATCTCTAAACATAGGAGATATATCGACGAGAAAAAAGAGAAAATGAGACCAGATATAAGAGACAAAAAGTACAGTGTGGCCGCCATGGCTCGGACATCGAAAGGGAGTCGTCTAATGATAGAGAGATGGAGGGGAGGGGAAGAAGTCAGAAACCCCCGCCCATACTGGGCGAATAAGAGTGGTGAGTTTCGCCCAGGAACCGGCAGGGTTCAAGGGAATGTCTCCGCCTGCGTGCAGACTGCTATCAATTCGTCTAGACCAGGTCCCTCTTGACGAATTCGTTCAGCAGCGCCTTGCCCAGGGAAGCGGGGCTGCGCTCGACAACAACACCAGCCGCCTCAAGAGCGGAGATCTTAGAGTCAGCGCCACCCTTGCCGCCGCTGACGATGGCTCCGGCGTGACCCATACGACGGCCCGGGGGAGCGCTAATGCCGGCGATGAATCCAACGGCGGGCTTGTTGTACTTGTTGTTGGCCTTGAGGAACTCGGCGGCATCCTCCTCGGCACTACCACCGATCTCACCAATCATGATGATACCGTCGGTCTCCGGGTCCTCGAGGAAGATCTTCAGGCAGTCGATGAAGTTGGTGCCGGAGAAGGGGTCACCACCGATACCGACGACCAGGGACTGACCAAGACCAGCCTGGGTGGTCTGGTTGACGGCCTCGTAGGTCAGGGTACCGGACCGGGAGACGATACCGACACGGCCACGCTTGTGAATGAATCCAGGCATGATACCAATCTTGCACTGGCCCTACACATCCGAAAATTTCATCATTAGCATCTTGACCCCTGTCCAGAAGGATCGCCTAGTGGTTTTTAGGTGCAACTTACAGGAGCGATGATACCAGGGCAGTTAGGACCCACCAGACGGGTCTTGTTCTGCGTCTTCAGGATATCGGTGATACGAACCATGTCTGGTTGATTGGTGGTCAGTCCTACACACAACATGCAGAGATCGTCGGCGCTACGCCATGGCTAATAAACATACCGTGCTGAGGGATACCCTCGGTGATACTATCCCGGTTGTTAGCACATGCTAGGCTCTTCTATCGTCATCGAGAGAGTTTGCCTACCAGACAGCCAGAGGAATTTCGGCCTCGATGGCCTCCTCAATACCCTTAGCGGCCAAGGGGGGGCTAGACTCAATCATTAGCAAATGTTCCTTCTATTCTCGATTAGGACGCCGGAAGCATACGGGACGAAGAGCGCAGTAGCGGTAGCTCCAGTCTCCTTGACGGCCTCGCTCACGTTGGCGAAGACGGGACGGTCAAGGTGCATCGAGCCGGCCTTCTTCGGGTTGGTTCCACCAACGACCTTGGTGCCTAGCAAGTTGTGAGTTTCCCATGTGAAACCGCCGGAGACATCTATCTAATTGGTGCAGACGTAGGAGGAGATAATACCATAGGCGATAGCTTGCTCAGCGTGGAAACTGCGGAAAGACGAAAAATAGCAACGTCAGCATCTCATGCATGATAAACAGCGTTCCCAGCGGATCGGGCAAAAAAGACGTACGTTCCCTGCTTTCCAGTGAAACCCTGGAAGATGACCTTGGTCTCTCCGTTAATGCGAAGGTTGTTCACAGTCTCAGCATAAGCCGGGCTGGCCGAGGCAGAGTATGCCCGGCGCTGCGTGGCAGCAGCATTGCGAAGGGCAGCGACGGTGTTACGGCGGACGGCCTGCATGGTTGATGGGGAGGGGAAGAAACCCGGTAAGGGGAGATCGGAAAGAGGGGAGAGGTGTGAAAGTTGAAGCACTACGAAGGTGCAAGAGAGAGTTTGTGGTTGAGATAGAGAAGAGAGGAAAGAGTAGCCGTTTCAAACGCGCCGGACAGATTCGCTTTGGGGAATTTCGGGACAAAGCTTTAAGCGGATCCGAGTTGTCACGGGCGGTCGGTTGCCTCCCTCGGCCTCGCTGCTCTTTTTTTCCTGTTGCCGTTGTGCTGTTCCGCCGCATCATCTCCCCCACATTATCTTAGCTCTACCCTTCTTTTTTCGGTAGTGGCTATTCAAGATCTAGATCTAGATTGTGTATCTGTACTGATTTGGCCGGTTGATTGATTTTCCTACTTGTCTTTCTTTTTTTTCGCCCCGTCGCGCAGTTCGCGTGGTGTGCATTTCACTTCATTCAAGATGGCGACCGCTACAATGACTATGCCGCCACTTCCCAAGTCTAAGAAAAATGCCAAAATTCCCCCGGAGAATGAACGTTTTATGAGAGCTTGCTCCGATATTGCGAATGCCCTCATCCAAGAATATGAAGCGCAACGCGATCCCAAGAAACCCAAGAGAGATATCAACCTCAACAAACTGCGGGGTCAAGTCGCCAAAAAGCATGCCCTGGCTACACAACCCCCATTGACGGCCATTATCGCGGCTGTCCCTGAGCACTACAAGAAATACATCCTTCCCAAGTTGATTGCGAAGCCCATCAGTATGTCTGCGCCTTGTCTCCCCTGCGCTTAGCAATTCTAACAGCCCCTGCTAGGAACCTCGTCCGGTATCGCGGTCGTCGCGGTCATGAGCAAACCCCATCGTTGTCCCCATATCGCCTACACCGGAAACATCTGCGTCTACTGCCCTGGTGGCCCTGATTCCGACTTTGAGTACTCTACACAGTCATATACCGGATATGAGCCGACGTCGATGCGTGCGATCCGCGCCCGTTACGATCCATTTGAGCAGGCCCGAGGACGTGTGGACCAGATCAAGTCTCTGGGTCACAGTGTGGACAAGGTGGAGTACATCATCATGGGTGGAACATTCATGTCTCTGCCGGAGGACTACCGTGAGTCGTTCGTGGCTCAGCTGCACAACGCGCTCAGTGGATACCAGACGGATAATGTCGACGAAGCAGTACAGGCTGGTGAGATGAGTAACGTGAAGTGCGTGGGTATCACAATCGAAACAAGACCGGACTACTGTCTCGACCAACATTTGAGCAGTATGCTCCGCTACGGATGTACCAGATTGGAAATTGGTGTCCAGAGTCTGTATGAGGATGTCGCCAGAGACACAAACAGAGGTCACACTGTTGCGGCCGTCGCAGAAACATTCAAGCTTGCCAAGGATGCCGGCTTCAAGGTCGTCAGTCATATGATGCCGGATCTGCCCAACGTGGGCATGGAGCGTGACCTGTTCCAGTTCCAGGAGTACTTTGAGAACCCGGCTTTCCGAACGGATGGTTTGAAGATCTACCCCACGCTGGTCATTCGTGGAACTGGTCTCTATGAGCTCTGGAGAACTGGTCGTTACAAGAACTACACACCAAACGCCCTTATCGACCTGGTTGCCCGCATCCTCGCTCTGGTGCCCCCGTGGACACGTATTTACCGAGTCCAGCGTGATATCCCCATGCCCCTGGTGACCTCGGGAGTCGAGAACGGCAACTTGCGCGAACTGGCCTTGGCACGCATGAAGGACTTCGGCACTACCTGCCGCGACGTACGTACCCGTGAAGTCGGCATCAACGAAGTCAAGAACAAGATCCGCCCATCCCAAGTCGAGCTGATCCGCCGTGATTACACGGCCAACGGAGGCTGGGAGACATTCCTCGCCTACGAGGACCCCAAGCAGGATATCCTGATCGGTCTGTTGCGCCTGCGCAAGTGCAGCCCAACCCACACCTTCCGGCCCGAGTTCACCGGTCAGCAGACCAGTATCGTGCGTGAGCTGCACGTGTACGGATCCGCCGTCCCTCTCCACGGACGTGACCCGCGCAAGTTCCAGCACCGCGGTTTCGGAACCCTGCTCATGGAAGAAGCAGAGCGCATCGCTCGCGAAGAGCACGGCAGCACGAAGATCAGTGTTATCTCTGGTGTCGGTGTGCGCAGCTACTACGCTCGTCTGGGATACACTCTCGATGGACCGTACATGTCCAAGATGCTGGACCCGATTGAAGACGAGGAGTTTTAAGCACTATCAGAGAAACAAAACCGTTTATGAATATGAATGATGTACGGTATTGCAACAACACCAACAAACGATACTCGAAACACAAAAGTCCTTCTTAGGTTATCTGCATGCGGCGTTGCACGGGGTTGGTTCTCCATTTTTCTGTTATCCAGGGGAGCAGTAGCGAAATCGGTATATACCAAAAATGGGCGGGATTAGAGAAACTTGCATTGTACATATGGCGCTTGAGCCGATTTGCTTGCCTACCACTACTACTACTATCTAAGTTATGAGGATGAATGATACATGTCACATGTGTATTGGTAGTTACGTGAGCCTTTCTTCTTCCAGGCTGTACTACTTGCTTTACCAATAACCTGAACAGTGAGATACTACCATGATGGATGACGATAATGGATTGAACATAACTGCGGACACACAAGTTCTATTCGAACAAAGACTATATACATATACAACCCGCAAAATACACCAGAAAAAAAAACCGCGCAGAGAAAAGGTTAATCAATCCAAACATCCATCACATCACATCGCAACTGAAGAAGTTATCAATAATCAATCCAATACCACTCCGGCTTTACGATAAGCAAGCGAGGATGGAGTGAGCCTCCCACGATCAGATTGTCATACGTAGCACAGCACACGCAGACAATATCGTCATTCCTTTCCTTTCCTTTCTCTTTCTCTTACATCCAGGGAAAGTATGCCCTCTCCTGGGATAGAATATATGGTACATCTCTCGATGATCCATCCGCATCTGCATCGATATTCCTCTCTGCTTCTCCAGCAAGATAAAGCCAGCAATCCACCTCAAAATCGCAAAGCAATGTAGAATGCCCTTTAACTCAACGATATAGCCCCGCCCCTCCGGGCCCTCATGTGCAAGTAAGCCTGGAAAGCGCAGAACACGAAGAAAGCCTATATACCAGTCATCAATGGGTTAGCATATCCATTCTCTTTCTCCCGCTGTCTTTTTTCCCTTTCATCTCCACAACTCCAATCCATATACATGAAAACCCAGGGATAAACACGTACAATATAAACCAACACGGCGGTGAAAATCGAAGCTGCGACCGCGGCGCCATCTTCAGGTTCGCCTTCGGAGCCAGTGAAACCGGGGTGTTCGCTCTATTCCATGACTCTTTTGTCAGAATACTCCTTTCTTTTGGACGATAATAGATTATTGCTGTGGTATAAAACGCACCTTGTATAGCGAACCCAAAACGGAGAGGATAATGATGGCGAAGACGGAGATGACCACGCTATTTCATTCAATGTCCCTTGTATTAGCTAGCGGGTCTGGTTATGGAGGCGCGCTGTGTGGGTGTATTGTGGACGTACCAGGACCATGCGTTAAGGGCGGAGACGACGGGCTTCATCTTGTATGATCTGGTATGATTGGGGCACCTTTGGGGGTTGAGAGGAGGAGGGAGGGAGAGTCGGGAGTGGCTGGCTGGCTGGCGCGGCTCGGGTGGTTGATGGTGATACCCGCTATCCGATGAGATGCGATGAGATTTGCGGACTAGCGATGGGATGTATTGATCGCTGACACGGATAAAAGAGTGATGGAACTTTCAAATTGCCTGTCCAGGCTGCCGTTGAGAGGGGGGATGAGGCCGTTGATGTCGTTGGATGATGTCGAGGATCGCAGGTGCCGGTGGAGACCTCCGGTGTGTTGGCGCTAAGCCGGTTTGGGGCGGGCGGTTATGTGTCGAGACTTGTTGTCCGCGTCATGGTGTTGCACTGGATGGTTATACTTTGTCCCGTCAGGGGATTGGGTCTTTCAACTTATAGTATAGGGTAAGGGGTTTTTTAGATCTTGTGAGGTGTTGTTCTTTGAATATGCGAGGTGTGTTAGAAGTAGTGTAGTATTGGTTTCATTCATGTCCTCAATGATCATGTTCTTAACTGGAATATATATACATCATCTGCCATGTCTCACGTCTATTTTCACCCACAACCAACCCTCTTTAATCCAACAACCACACCCTAATGCGTCTTGTTCCATTCTATACACTCATCAAACGTTACCCCAGATCCACCAAAGATATCCAACGCACTCCCAATCGTCAAATCCACCTTCCCTTGACTGCTGACGTGAACCTTCTCCAGATCCTGGAGATTCCGAGCACCTCCGGCATAGGTGACAGGGATAGTACACCACTGGGACAGCTTAGACACGAGCTCCTCATCAACGCCCTGTTGCAGACCCTCAACATCTGCAGCGTGAATGAGGAACTCGGAACAGTAGGGCTCCAAGAGCGCAATTGATTCTGCTTCGGTCAGTTGTATTCATACAATGACTGTAATCACAGCGAGGGAACAGAGAAAGCAAAGCCATAACCACAAAACCTTCAATCCAAAGCCAAGATTTCATGCTTACCTTGCGTAATCTCCATCTCAGTAATCGTCTGCCAGCGATTCATAGCCACAAACCACGTATTATCCTTCTTCCTGCAGCTCAGGTCCAAGACCAGCTTAGACCTGTCACCATCCAGCGCAGCAAGAACAGACTGCAGCCTTTCAAGAGAGAACTTGCCCTCCGGGAAGAGGAACGATGTGATGATAACCTGCAATTGCAACATTAGCCATTACACTGCACAACAACACACTCTAAACCTCCAAACCAAAGCAACACCCAACCCCCAACCCCCAATTCATCCATCCACACCCACAAACCCAACCCCAAAACCCCAAAGAAAAAGGAGAAAGAACTAACCTTCTCAGCCCCCATCTCAACCCAATACTTCGCATTCTGATCCGTAATGCCCCCCGCAACCTGCAACCCAGCAGGCCAGGTCCTCAACGCCTCCTTAGCAGCCTCATCATTGCCCGGACCGAGCATAACAACATGTCCACCTCTCAAATCATTCTTCCTATACAATTCCGCATAGTGACTGGCCGGCAACTTCGACACATAATTCGTCTTCAGGTCCGCCGCAACACTGCTCAACGTTCCGCCCACTATTTGCTTCACCTGGCCGGAGTGTAAATCAATGCAGGGACGGAATTTGGTCATTTTGATAGAATGTATCCTCTGACGTGTCCACCACAAGTCACTCAATTCGTGTGTCTGATCAGTACTGTCGTGAATGAATGAATGACTCTATCTATTCCCCCCACGGTTTTGTGGAAATCCGACGAGGGGTTGCGCGGGTTATCTTATCTGCACGTGATGGGAATTATACAGTATGGAGAATAGGTGGGTTACATAAGCCGGTTGGTTTTACGGCAAAGTCGTCACTTATCGCGCGCATTATTTTTTTCCGCCGGGACGAGTGGTTTGGTCGTTCAGCATTTTATTGTTTGGTTTATAGCAGCAGCACAAGCAATTGAAAATGGTCGGAAAGCGCAAGAGAGACGCTGCTGTTGTCTCTAGGACTACGAAGGTGGATGAGGAGGAGGAGAAGACGACGCCACAGACCGAGACGACTGATGCGTCTGCTACGGATATTTTTCGCAAATTCTTTGAGGCGCAGTTCCAGCCGTTGGAGGTGCCTGGGGGCCAGGTGACTCGTGGTGATGAGTCGGATGAAGAAGACAGTGAGGATGAAGATTTTGAGGAGGGATCTGAATCGGGCTCTGATTGGGATGGTCTTTCCGGAGAGGAAGACGAGGCTCCGGTTGAGGTGGTTGAGCATCGCGATATCAAGAGCCAGGATTTGTTGGATAAGAAGGCGCGTAAGGCGTTTATGGTATGTCTACGAGTTATGCGTGTGCTGTTATGTTTTCTTTGCTAATTCGCCTTTACTAGACCTCGAAACCACCCTCGTATTCCGAAGAACCGAAGCCGGCAAAAAAGAAGGCCAAGAAGGAAAAGAGCGACGATGATGAGGAGGAGGACGCCATAGATGCGGATAATTTGAAGAATGATCTCGCCTTGCAACGGCTTCTGAAGGAGTCCCATCTGCTCGAGTCGGCGAATGAGCTCGCGCCAACCGGTAAAAATCGAATCAAGGCTCTTGATCTAAGAATGCAGGAACTGGGGGCAAAGGCGTCTCTGTATAAGCAGAAAATGCCCACAGCGCACAGAAGAGGCATCAAGGAGAAGGCGGAAATGAAGGAAGATAGGCGCCGACGTGAAGCCAAGGAGAACGGTATCATTCTCGAGAAGCCCGCACCGAAATCAAACCCAGCCAGCACCAAGCGTCGGGAGCGCGGTGTCGGAGGTGCTTCTATCGGAAAATTTGCGGGTGGTGCTTTGAACCTGAGCAAGCGTGACGTGGCCGCCATTCAAGGCCCGCGCCGCACGACAAAGGGCAAGGGCAGGGGCAGAGGACGTCGCTAGGCCTGCCTGAGAGCCATGAATGGCAGTACTAGCCACGCCTGACACCACTCCCAGTCAGATCCCTTTACGTCCCGTGCGCGCCCAGAGCGCGCCGCCCTGATTCGACGTGGATTGGCTGTCGAGCGTATCCTAGCCCCAGTAATGCTTACCGGAAGAGGGGTTGTAGTCTGTTTCTTTACATGAGGAACTTTCTGTCAATCCTTCGCCTTCCTCTTGTTCTTCGGCTGTTTCACGAACACGCCCCGACCCCTTTGTGAAGGTTTACCGTGTCCAGACTGCTGTGATAGGTCGGGATGGAGTCCTCGAAGTGCCGCAACAAAGGGGAGAGCAGAACGATGCGCCCGCTCGTATTGAGGACGTCGAGATGGCCCCGGCGTCCATGCTGGCTGCAGCCTTGATTCAATGCTGAAACTTCTGATTTGCCCGCTCAAACCTTATTCCCCGAAACGCCTTAAGACAGTGTGCGAAGCACGTTCCAATAGCACCAAACTATGTGTGAGACCGAGCACGCTGTTCCGAATACGGTGATATCCCCGAGTCGAGCTAAGGTTTGAGGACGAGACCCCCAATTCTGAGACAGCCTATGGCCTTAGGACGTTTGAGAAGGTCGACCGACATGAGAATACCCCAGAGGTTGGCCAGTTTTAGTTGCTAGGTGCTGTCTATAAACAGCTGAAGCACGAGTCATCCTAGATAGATAGATCTTAGAAAGCGTCCAGTCTCTTATCGAGCAAAAATAGAACGTCCCCATCCCGTATAGAGACACCCGGTGAAAGGGCGTCGCATGAACCGACTGTAAACAAGACTTTTAGTACTTTTTAGCTCGATTCCTTGGAGAACTACTATCAAGGTACACGTCAGTTCTCTCCTGTAGTAGCGCTCACCAAATGTTGAGTTGAGAAACCTAGCTTCTCATCTGATCAGTCATACTCCTTTTTTTTCCATCTCTAGCTCGGCATCGGTTTAAGCCAGCCTAATAAGGACTAGGAGTTTGCCAGTCTGATATGATTGAGTTTGCCAGTTCTGCGGCTACAGGCACACCGATCTGCTACTAGCGGATAAACGTCCCACCCTCAGGCAGTTCCTCTGTCTGCTTATCTAGTTCCGGTGTACCAGGGTACCTGCATGAATAATCCGATATTATTAGGTTAGTGCAATAGCGGTTCCGTGGTTCCAATTCTCTAGTTCAGGTACCGCTGCCGTGAAGGGGAATGGAGAAGCCGCAAAAGGAGAAAAAAAAATTGATGCGAATTGCTAAGGCGTCAATAATAGTTCCCATTATTGTCATGCATCCATCCGGTTTTGTTAGTCATCTCCCACTTAATTCTGCATGCTCGTGCCTTTGCACGAACCACAAGCCATGAGGCGGGACAGGGAGACATCTTCGTCGTTTCAGATTCTGCACGTAACCATTCCGAGCAGTGTACTTTGACACTTGCACCGGAATCGCTTGGAAATGTCGCTTAGTACGAGTCAGAGGTCTGAGTCGTAACCCGTAGATACAGGGTGGTTGGTGCCTTCTGGAGAAGTCTAGACGATATCGTGCAAGCTGGACCTGGATCATTGCCGACTACACTTGGCATTTATCACCCCTTTAAGCGGAAGTCCACCGAATCGCGCATGAAGCCGGATTGGTGTCTATAGCGTGTTGTTGTTGATAGCATGATGCGGATTTGGAGTATCCATGTCTAGTGACAGAAAATGCCGCTATATGATCCTTCATGCAGGAACGTGGGAAAAAAATGCGTAATCCCCGCTCTTAGTGCTAACCTACCTGCTTGGCATCTTGACAATGCACTAGATAGCTGGTGTGATTAGGCCCATGGATATCTTTTCACCTTAGTAGACAGGTATGATGGAAAAAAGTCATCTGTGGTCCTCAATATCGAGAAGTCAACAATGTGGAGGATCGAGAGACAAGGGCAAGCTAGCTGATCGATCTATGGCCTGGGCAGAAACTTTAGAGGAAAGAGGTGGATTCGCGGACACGGAATTCCAGCTTTCTCCGTTGGTCGCCATATAGAATATAGGCTAATCCCAAAACCCGAGGTTTAAACGGGTAGAGAATAAGGCCGCTGATCATCTCCATTCCGATATATCCGGCCATTTCATTTGGTTACTGGCGGAGCGAGATTCTCCAGGGAGCCAATGTTATTGTCTTGGGTCTCGGAGGCTTATTGGCATGATTCACGGATTTATATCAGTTTGTGGGATAGTACGACTGTCGTCAACAAGCGACTATTGTATGTGCGAAATCCTAGGTGAAAGAGACCGACCAAGCTGGCCTACTAACCAATGAACGTATCGGCCATCCGGAAGAGATAGATATGTATCAGGCTGGGAGGATCAGCATGGGGACGGCGCATTCGCTACGCATTCCACTAAGGAGCTGACAGTTGTAAACAGAAGCCGGATGGACGCGACCTCTAAGCTCCCCCGCACGTTCTCGAGTCAGGCCGGGAGGTTTCATCTTGGACACTACTCCAGCTTAGCTGCATCGCTAGATACGAGACACAAGCTATCACCAGAACAGAAGGTAGAGATGTAGAAAGATGGACCTAGCGTTGGTCCGGCCTCTGTTTGATCGCCCTGAGCTTCCTATCTCATATCCCCGACAGATAGCAGTACAGGCCGAGGCCGAGTGCGGCACAGACTCATTCAGTAAGAGATAGATGTTGCCCGGGTGGTCCTGGCAGTGACGGATGCCGGAAGTTGGAACAGTGCTGGACTTTTCTAGATGGTTTCAGGCCTGACGATCAAACCCAGGCCCGTTGCACAGAGAGCGGGCCAAGCCTTCCCTTGCTGGAAATGCGACCTTTCTTCTTCGCAGCAGGACAGAAAGGGTAAGTCAAAGTAGAATGGTCTTTTTCTGAACTAACTTACCACTAAGTCACTAAATAACGAGCTAATGCCGGCTTTACCAATTGCGACCTTGTGGTCAGCAAGCCGGCAGAGGCGGCCGTAATTTATGGCCCCATTAGGTCTCCATCGAGAACCCCATGGAATCCAGGCACAATTGCCCATTCCGGCCTGGTTGCCACCCACTTAGGGTCTGGAAGGATTCAACCGTCAGGGGAGAGCTTGAGTTTCCAAGTTGTCCTTAATACCACTTAGCATCTTCGATGGGGTATTGGAGTACTATCTACTGGCACTATTTGCTATGCTAACCTTAGTCTCGCTATGCTTCCGACTGTTGCTACTGGATTCGAGCCATCCCGACTCCATCCTAACTCCATCCTAATCCCCATCCTTACGCCGTTCTTCCACATTGTTTCGCAACAACTCCGAGAACTATTGCGAGATATCGTGAGAACTTACGTAGTCTGCTCCGAAGAGGCGTCCAGACTAAAAGACATGGCTTTGGATAACTCTAAATGTGTATGGGTGCGAGCTATCGGCGCCCTCTCGGGATGCTCGGTCTTTCGGACTTCTCCCAAATGCAGCAACCAGCCTCCGGCATTTTTGACTGGGTCTTCGGAGAATTTATCATGGGTAGCAAGGGGTCTCTTCCCACCGACCCTGATCGATGACAGTGCTCAGATATCAGCCTGTCTATTTTTGTGTTTTCTTGGTGGTCCCTGACCTCTCCTGACCGGCATACCCATGATGCACCCCCTTTTTTATTTGCCCAGCACACGCAGTCGTTGTAGTCTGCACAGTGCACGGTGACTATCTCTGTAGGTCTTTCTCTCTTTCTCTGCGGACATTCAAAATTCGGCCGAGACTGTGGAGTAGACTACTACTTACATAAAGATCTTGACGATCGGACCAATGACCGCCTGACAATCCCAGCACCGCTGCACTAAGTATGCCTCTATAACCAGCATACCGACTATACTAGCCATCTTAACCTCCTTGAACGGGCTGAAGTGGAGGAAGTACAGTACAGGGGGCAATCAATGGCCTTACGGCACACTTCGGACTGACTTTCGGAAGACACATCCTACCATGGATACCACAAGAATTGGGCTGTTAAGCCTTGGCGACTAAGCTTCGCCGTTTTCGCATCCATCCTTTGGATTGCGCAGATCACCCCTGATGCTCAACGTCCTGACCGTATGATGGCATGCTCCGGGGTTAAACCGGCTAGACCTCATTTTTCGCATCACCGCCTTTTCTCTCCCAGATTACCTAGCAAACAATTGCTTTCAGATTTGTCATTGTGATCGCGTCAAACAAATGGGTCAGCTCGGGTCACGAAACATAGATTGCCACATTACCCGCGCTTGTTTCCTATCCTGCTACAGTGATTCAGCCTGGTATGTGACTCAGGCGATCATTATGTCATCTCTGACATACCAGTGATAATATCATCAGGCATCTATGAATTCAGACGACGAGGACGATCTTGATGTTCTTAGAGTTAGGAACATACCCAATAAAGCACGATCCCAATATCGAAGTGCACTATATTGATGCACACGGACCAAACCTTGATGTCTCAAAATTGAGCTCGGGTAATCGGGCCCCTCATACTGTGTGCGATTTAATTTAGATCGTTGTCTGTATCTTGTGAAAGAGTCAGGTGAATGTGATTTAGTCGATCGTGATAATTTGTATCCGATATTAATCTTTATTTGGAGGGTATGGTTGGTGGGCCAATGGGCGTAGCGCTTGCCGCTATGATGGTGATTGTGATTGATCATCTTGAGCAGTTATATACGTCCAAAGACAATCAAAGGGCAGAAAGTACCTACTAAGTAGGTACTTACCAACTTGCCGGGGTTTACTTTCCCAACTACTACTATCTTAAGTGACCCCCTCAACCAGCCTTGAGCGGCAAATATCACCGGTCATGCGTCCCTTGGTGGCAGTGGCGTTTTGGGCTGTAGGCTATTCCTATCTTTGAGCAGCTAAGCCCACCATGCTTTTGGAAATGTATGTACATGTGTGTAAGCACTGCCTGGCCGAGTGACCTCCTCCATCGGTACCCTTGATCTTCCCAAACAAAGGAGGGCCATATGCAAGCCGAAGGGAGGCAAAACATATCATACTGTCCCACTAATTCGGTAGACTTCCCAAGAGGCTACTATCTACTCTGGAACTACTATCTACAAATGAACAATACCAAGGACTGTACATCGTTGTGCGCCACGATCAAGCTGGTCATCACGTAAGATCAGTCAGTCGATTTATTTTTGGTGCCGTCAATTTCTGTTGCCCTGAAGAGTTTCTACTAGTTAGATACTACTTCGGAAACCCGCATAACAACCCTGCATGTAATTCGCCTGTTGGACAGAAACTGGGCGGTGGTACTGGTGCATGACTAGTCTGACAATCAGATGAGCTCATGACAAGTAAGTAATACAACACTGCCATTGCCATGCCATGCTATGCTACACCAGGCAATCATTTGCATATGACAATAGCATGGCATAGCCGCCAGTTATCCAACCACACATTGAAGAAGCAGGTTGGAAGCCTTTGTCATACTGTGTTGCTGGAACAAACACAAAACAAAGGTAATGGATGGATAGTTGGATGGATGGATGGGCTATTACTAGCTACCCCCTACTAGTCTACTAGTCATACTGTAGCTACAGTAGTCACATACAGGTAAGTAAGTAGGCAAGGGTAAACAAACCTATCTCACAGAGAGAGAGAGAGAAAGGCACACTACCACGACTGGAAAGTGGATATTGCTTCTCTCAGTTCAATTGGGGCCACTGAAAATTGTGGGTTGGAAGGGATAATCCATGCCAGCCATTGGCGGAGTAGTAAGCGCTCACCAGAATTCTGAAACAAGGGGCGAATGCTTCAAGATTGTTTCCCGCGCCAGTTTGATCGGGTGTGCAGGCTTGGCGTTGTGGCCTTTTCTTGGTTCCACCCAGGGCGGCAAACCCAGCGAGGCGCCTTGGTTTGTGATTTCATTTCCATGCCTTGACCAAGCGGGTAGCATTGCTGGCACAAAGGGTGTAAAAAAAGAAGAAAAAAAGAAGAAGGAAGGGTAGTGGACTACTTACTACTGTAGAAGAAGGTTGGTAGCGATGAATTGGGCGGTTAAGCAACCCGCATCTTCTCGTTCTTATTCGATGTGACTTCCCACTTACCATAGCCGCTGGCTGTGTGATATGCAGTGCTAGTGTCAATGGTGGGTTGGGTTGTGTCTGTGTATGTGTGCAATGCTTGGATAGGCTGGAGACCTGGCAAATGGCCCCCAAGAAGAATGAGGCCCCCAAATAAATCGTCGCCTAAGTAGGTTGAGAAAGAGGAGGGTACATCGCCCGTGCGCGCCTATGTGCATATCTGGTGGTGTACAACTACTTACTACACAAGACTTACTCTTACTACACCACGGAGGGGAACGCTTCTCCTGATTTCCCCTTTTCCAAAAGCTTCTGGTAGTAATATCGGGATGCCAAGAGATAGAGCTTACTTGTGTTAAGGCTCCCTGGATCCCACTCAAGGAATTTTGTCCACACAGAAAGCAAATTGATATCCTATTTTGGTTGCAAATCCGAATTCCCAACAGTCAGGTCGTCGGATACCCATGATCCATCATGGAGGTGCCTAGGCTACCGGACCAACTCCACTTTTACATGTTCTGTTTGCCCATTCCCTTTCTTCTGTGTAAGGTTAGCCACACCTTCCCCACACATAGCAGAAAGCCAGTAAATATCGCGCGGCCCATGATGTAAGATATCTTCAGGAAGCGCTCTTCAAATTAACAGTCGCCAAGTCGGAGCAGGTAGGCTACCCCACAGAATCAATGGGATTGGCTTAAACCTTTGGGGTGTATGATTGCAAGCTGCAGGAAGAGACAGGGTGTGTAGGATGATTATTTTGTAGTATATGTGAGTTAGTATGTAGTACTAGAGGCCCTTTCAACTGGAGAATTTCTTATTTCCTTTTTCCTTTTTTTTTCTCATTTCAATGTTGGTATGACCGACCAGAAAATCAACTGACTAGTAAGTTGAACTACTTAACAAGATAACTTACTCCGTACTGAATGCTCTCACCACCTTCCAGCAGGTTTCTATGAATAAGTTTAGCAACGATTGAGGTGGACTAACCCAAGAGGGAGGCGGGCCCGGCAACAAAAAATCACTAACGGATGGGATGGATTGGAATCTTTGGAAGTCGGCGGCAGCCCCACTGTCTGGTAATCTGGTTATCGTCCTGGTACCTGACCGTTTGGATACCTAAATATCTTACCATTGACCCCACTTTTTGGAGGTGTGATTTCGCTGCTGAGAGAAGCAAATAGCAGGATAATCGGTCCTGGGGGGAGGTTACTTCAGGGAGCAGCCCTTTTTACCATACGTGTATAATTCTTGTATCGCGTGATTTGATTACCGGGGGGGCCCTCTCTCTCCTCTCTTTCTCTCTTCTCTCTCCTCTTTCTGCCCTTAGGCTCTCTCAGACTTTCTGTCCTCTTTTTTCCTCCTCTTTTGTTATTATATTATTATTTTATTTTATTTACTCTGAAATATTCTTTTTTAATTTTTTATTTCTTCCTTTTCCCCCTGCCCTGAAGTCGGTCCCTGGCGCCAGTCTCCACTTATATTTTCCTATTCTTTACTCAGTGGGTAAAAAAAAGCCCTACTTTTTCGCCGTGCGCGTATCCCGGAGCCCAACCAACTAAGTAAGTAACTTAGTCAAGCCGCCCAGGAGGGAGAGAAGAAAGTAGTAGAAAAGAGAGACTCCAGAAGTGGGCGACTCGATCCGCGGGTCTCGGTCGGCGGCGCTCCCTGAATTCCTCCTCCCAGACCCAAAGTCTCCGTCTCTCGACACTGGCTGGTCGTTTAAAATTATTATTGTTCTTTTTCCCGATTTTATTATTTATTGTTAGATTATTATTTTATCGATTGGCATTATTATTACCGGTTACCGACTGCCCTTCCATACTTGATCTGTACCTCATCTCTGCTGTAAAAAAGCAAGTCCCTACTTCATCCCTCCACTTCTTCCTCTTCCTCTCTTCCCCTTCCCCTCCTACTCTTCCCCATCGCGACTGGCATCTCTTGTTTTTCTTCTTCCATTTTTACTTCGTCCTTCCCCCTCTTCTTCACCTCCTTTCGTTTCAGTTCACATCCCCATCTTCGCCGTGCGAGTTATCTCAACCCAAGGGACTTGTAATCGGGCTGGCCCAGTTCAACTCTCTGTTGCTCTCTCTCTTTCTCACTGCCTTTCATTTGCCCTTTGTTGACGAGGGTCGGCACAACGTCAGCGCCTAACTACTACTTGCTTGCTACTCTATCCATACAAGAGGCTGGCACCTCTTTTTTCCTACCCATCAGCTGTGTTTGGATAACCCTTTTGTGTTTCACGATCCCGTCGTCGAACACCCTATATCCAAACCTGTTTCTATCTTTATATAGCATTCAATCCTCCGAGATCGCTCCCCTTGATTCCTTGCGAGTGGTTGTTTGTCCGCTTTCCTAACCGGGTGTTGTGACTGTGCGTAACTCCTTGCTCTGCCCAACCGGTGCTCTGTGACACCGTCCACTTGCCGCTTCCATGGCGCTCTTCTTTGTTCGCGCTTATGCTTGCAAGCAAACCGTTGTTTTAAGATTTGACTGATTCCCCGACAGACTACTGTATCACATCCGCTATGTATTCCCAACACGGTGCCCCTATGGCACCCCCCCAAAAGCCGGAGACGTTTATGCTTTCCACTGAGGCCCAGCAAAGCCTTCCACATGACGCTCAAGTCGCGCTGCAGCAGGTTGACAATCGTACGTTTTCCTTTGCGATGCTTACAACGCCTGTAGCTTCAGTCTGGCTTTCCAGTGCCTTCAACCCAGGCCCTTTGATGAACTCCTGACTAATGGTCTATCTCTGGTATAGTCAAATACTTTCTCCTCTCGGCGCCAGTGGACTGGCATGCAGATCAACTCATCCGGCGCTTCTTGCTTCCCACTGGCGACTACATCTCTTGCGTCTTATGGTTAGTTGCGATCGTCGCAATGCCATGCAGTTGATCAAAGAACACCTAAACTGATTCGCCATAGGAGTAATCTCTTTCACATCTCCGGAACCGACATCGTCAGATGCCTCGCATTCAGATTCCAGGCCTTCGGGCGCCCCGTGAAGAATTCGAAGAAGTTCGAGGAGGGTATCTTCTCGGACTTGCGAAACCTCAAGGCCGGAACTGATGCTACTCTAGAAGAACCCAAGAGCCCGTTCCTCGACTTCCTCTACAAGAACAATTGCATTCGAACCCAGAAAAAGCAGAAAGTCTTCTACTGGTACAGTGTGCCACACGATCGGCTGTTTCTCGATGCGTTGGAACGTGATCTGAAGCGGGAGAAAATGGGGCAGGAGGCGACCACGGTTGCGGTCAGCGAGCCTGCTCTGTCTTTCGAGTTCGATTCATCCCAGTCGCTGTATGAACAACTCACAAAGGCACAACAAGCAAATTCCTCATCGTTTGCTGCACACGCAAGTACGACATATGGCCAACCCGCATCCCCAGTGGTTCGGACCGTTGACGCTATGCCTCCTCCCCAGATGGCTCCCCAGATGGCTCCCCCGGCGCTACCCCTTCTCCCGGACGAGTCGGGCAATCCGGCGATGTACAACCCAGTTCCTATGCCCACCACCCTGGCCCAGAGCGTTATTAAGCGCGAAGCCGAATACGGGCACATTCAATACGACCGCAATGGCATGCCCATTGCTCGTCTACACCAGCGCCATGCCTCCATGCCCACCTTCGTCGAATACTCGCCGGCGCCATCGTTCGTTTCGTCTCAATACGAGGACTACAGCAACCGGGGTCTATCGTTCGAGCCTGTTACACCTCCTCAGCACAGCTCCCACCTTGGAGCTGAACCGGCATACATCGCTAACGAAGACACCGGTCTCTACACCGCCATCCCCGATATTTCTTCCGCAACCCACTTCAATCCAATGATGCAGCTACCCCCGTCTAACCTTGTCCATGCGCACTACCCGGCGCCTGCAAGAACTTTCCCTTCAAATGTCTACTCGGTCATCGAAGGCTCTCCTACATACAAGCAACGTAGGCGGCGGTCTTCGATACCACTGAGTATCACCAGCGTTGGCGCTGGGCCGCACCCCCAGGTGACTAGTGCACCGAACCAAGCTGTTGCGTACGCTGCCCATAAACCCAGCGACCTTCGTCGCTCAGTCTCTAGCTCGGTGGCTCCGGTAGCGGAGGTGGATGAGTCTCATCATGATCAGTCTTTCAGGGCTGCCAATGGTTATCGCGCTGCAGTCCTTCCCCAGAAGAACCTGCTGCATGAGATGTCCCGCAACGGCACCCCGCTGCCGAGTCTCGAAGAAAACCCCGAGCAGGGTACCTTGGCTCTTGCAAATCAACCAGATGACTTAGCGCCTCTCCCTAGCGGTGAGGCGCTAGATTCATCTGTCCAGAACAGTGCGACGAGTAAGAATGACCGATACGGTCCCATCCGTCGTGCTCGGAGCGCTACCATGATGGAGCTCGGCCCCTACCCGCAGAAGTCACACTCCTGCCCCATTCCATCATGCGGACGCCTCTTCAAGAGATTAGAACATTTGAAACGGTAAGCTGCAAATTTCTATTTTTATGAGCTTCCCAATTGGTTCGGGTTCCTGAAGGGATCGGCGGAAGCCTCAAAGCCATTGTTTCTGTAACCGCCGACTAACATGAAGGATGCAGACACGTGAGAACACACACCCAGGAGAGGCCCTACCCTTGTCCTTACTGCAACAAAGCATTCTCCCGATCGGATAACCTGGCACAGTAAGTTATCAGCATGTTCACTTGATATTGATTGCAGGATGCTAATCTGCCTTACAGACACCGTCGAATCCACGAGGCTCAACAGGATGGGCAGCAGCCCCTTTCTGGCCACGAGGAAGACCTGGAAAATGACGAGAACGGATTTGGTTCAGCCGAGGAGGGATCTTCTCCGTCTGAATCTGTCTCAGGTGCCATGGTTAATGTTCCTGGCATGACCACGATGCCCTCCGCTATGACCCTGCCATCGGCTATGCCCACAATGGTCGCTCCTCACATGATTGCGCCTCAACTATTGCAGCAGCAGCTATGAGTGACGCGCCATGGTGGACCTCTAACTGGTCGATACTTTGCCAGACATGTCACACATTACTCTGTTCGCTTTGTTCAGTCCTTACTGATGCTTTTGCATCTCGACCCTCGGTCGTCTACTGTGTTTGTTCTCACTAATTAACTCGAGGAGTTGAGGGCGCGTGTCTGCATACAAAACGTCCCTTACTCCGTTCTTGATTGATTGCATCGCCAAGTGTACGCTGTTCGGCCCTGTGGCTCCTGTACGTTGATGCCACGTCACTGAGGCTCGGTTGACAGCTATTGGCTTCCTGCAGGACGTCGTCTCCTGCTTTGCGGCCTTGTCCCCCGGGTGATGGCGGGGCTGCTTCCAGATTTGGATTGAATCTTCCTTTGTTTCCTATTCGCGGTCGGTCTGGATTTGGTGTCCATAATAAGCGTTACATGTGTTCGTTCCTCGGGGTTGGTAAGCTGTTGTCTCTACCCCATAATTGTGTTTGTTTGTTGTCTCCTTTTGTTCGGTCGGGTTCCTGGTTTTATTTGTTTATGTGCTATGTTGATAATGGGCTTTCTTGTACTATTTCATTTATCGCGGTGATGGGAATATTTGGTGGGTTGGATTACAGATGAGGGTTGATCATAAAGGGCATATAGCTTGAAAAGGCTACTTTTCTTTGCTCGTGGGATATTTTGCGGCTCTCCAGGCACACCTGAAGCGGGGATGCAAGAAGGGGGTCTGGATTTGAAGCTTCTTCCATTATAGATATTCCGAGAAGATGGGTTCTTGTGTCTGTGACGGGCGTGCATAGGTTGAGCACATACATATAGATATGAATCAAATGGTAATGAAACCCATGCTGTTAAATGACTAGTAGTAGCCGTAAAAGTAAGTCAGGGGATGGATGTTTGTCACCTGTCAGACGACTGCGTGTCTCCGCCTGATCCAATCGTGACCCGTTCGACCCGGCTTCCAGATCGGGCTATATCACGTGCATGGCCTGCTGACGTCGACCCGATTCTACAAGGTATCGTCATCCAAGACACCCCCATCGTATTCATCGGGAATGCCTCCTCTTTATTTCTCTGCAGTGAGCTGTTCTTATAGTCCGCCTAGCATGGTGCAAGACTAGGAACCCAAAGGGTTGATCTTCGTGCCATACCTCCTATCTGCTGATACTGCTCCCTGAGCGCTTCATTCTCCATAAATACATACTCGCGTGTTCACTACTACCTCTTGCCGAACCCTGAGGAATCCAACCACGTTTCAAAAGCCTGTTTGAGATTATCACACACTATATTGCACCACCATTTGCTTCAACCTCCGGCAGGAAGAAGCCACAGAACGGTTGCATTCCATACTGGACTAGCTTGTGTACCACGGCCTTTCCACACCTTTGGGTCTATCTATCCACTTCTAATCATCTTATATGCTACTAGTCCGCGTGTGCTATCCTCGGGGCTTTTCTATCCCATGAATGACTAACGCAGGAAGACCTGATCGTATCACACACACGCGCGGTAACTTCTTTTGAATTCCCCGATTGTTAACAGGGGATCGTTGTGTCCAGCAACGCTGCTTTTAGCTAGATCAAATGCCAGAGACGCATGAGCGGTTCGCTGACGAAACTTCCCCCTTGGTGGGAGCATCTGACAATAATCAAGTGCATTCGATGTCAAGAAATGGAGATAATAACGGGACCAGCGGGGCTGGAGATGCTCACCCTCTGTCTGAGACGAAGAGCAGCTGGTACCTGTTTTTGTTGACTTTGAGCATCGGCGGGTAGGTGGCTAGTCTGATCCGTTGGCGATCTAGTCAAGGACTGTTTCTGTGTGGTGTATGGCTTTTGCCCGAAGCTGACGAGTTGTTGTTCTAGTCTTCAGGTTGTGTGGTCCACTGAGCTGTCGAATGGATCGGTAAGCTATCACCGTTTCTAGGGCTGTATGTGGGAATAGGGGAGCTAATTATGTTTCCTGAGCATAGCCCTACCTCCTGTCGCTCGGAATGAGCAAGGCTTTACTTGCATTCGTTTGGATTGCTGGTCCTATCACAGGTACCCTTGTGCAGCCGTATATCGGCATCTGCAGCGACAATTGCCGCATATCATGGGGCAAGAGAAAGCCGTTCATGGTAGTGGGCGGCATTGCGACGGTCATTTCTCTCCTTGCTCTCGCCTGGGTCAAGGAGATGACCGGAGGCTTCCTTGGCCTTTTCGGTGTTGATCCGGCCTCCAGTGCAACGCGGACAGTGGTCATTGTACTGGCCACCATCCTGATGTACTGCCTTGACTTTTCTGTAAATACTGGTAGGTTTCCTTATGCTTCGCTTATCTGTCTGCAAACTTAAAGTGACTGTTGGGTTGCAGTGCAGGCAGGCATCCGGTGTTTCATTGTGGATAATGCCCCTTCGCACCAGCAGGAGGCGGCCAATGCATGGGCTAGTCGGCTCACTGGCGTTGGTAACATTCTTGGGTACATTTTTGGATACATGGACCTGCCTAAATGGTTCCCGTTTTTGGGAAACACACAGTTCAAAGTCCTCTGTGCATTGGCGTCCGTCGCACTTGGGATAACGTTGCTGGTCAGCTGTTTATACATTAAAGAACGCGATCCCCGTCTAGATGGCACGCCCTCATCGGGGAACCCTGGGCTTGTGACATTCTTCAAGCACGTCTTCAAGTCGATCAAACACCTGCCGCCGGAGATTGCCAAGGTGTGCGAAGTTCAACTTGCCGCGTGGGTGGGTTGGTTCCCTTTCCTTTTCTATTCCACGACATATATCGGGCAGCTCTTTGTGAATCCGATTTTCGATGGACACCCGGGTCTCTCGGATGATGATATCAACAAAGCTTGGGAAGAAGCTACGAGAATTGGGACATTTGCGCTGCTGGTCTACGCAATCATCTCATTTGTGACAAACTTAACGCTGCCTGTCCTTGTTGTTCCTACCTACAAGTCAGCTGTTCCTTCTGAGCCCACTCCTACGGAAGGTGAGTCGGAGGACGAGCCCTTCCTAGGCAACAGAAGGCTGTCTACATCCTCAATTAGCACTGCCATGGAAGCACCCGCGCCCATCTTGGGAATCGATAAGGGCGATTCGGGAGAGAATAAGTGGCTAGCGAAGTTGCAGATCCCCGGATTTACCCTTCGGCGTGCGTGGCTCATGTCGCACATCCTGTTCGCTGTCTGCATGTTTAGCACATTCTTCATCTATTCTTACCAGGCGGCAACGGTGGTTATCGGGATCGTTGGTATATCGTGGGCATTGACGCTTTGGGCACCCTTTGCCCTAATCTCTGCGGAGGTCTCCCGCATTGACACGGAGCGTCGCATCCGGCGGCATCAGAATGGGGGTGCAGTCTCCGAGCAGCCTCGCGATGATACGAGAACACCAGCCCGAGCCAATACCGACGAGCAAGACCTGGAGAATGGATCACCCAATTCAACTACAAAGGCAGGGGAAGTGGAAGAGGAAGAAAATCTGGCACAGGCAGGGATCATCCTCGGACTGCACAATGTGGCCATCTCGGCGCCACAAATCATCTCGAGTCTGATTTCTAGTGCGATTTTCAAGGCGTTCCAGAAGCCTCGGGGTGAGCCATGGGATGATAGTGTTGGGTGGGTGATGAGGTTCGGGGGTTGCGCGGCAGTACTGGCGGCAGTGCTGACCAGCAGGCTTACCGAGGGGGCAAGGGGAGTGAGTGTTTCATCGTAGGAATTATATTATTGGGGTGGAGTAACAGACACAATGATAGTAATATTACACATTGATGGAGAGTTATCATAATCTGTAACACCAGGCCGAAGTGGAAGGAATAGTAGAAAAAAGAAAGACCCGTTATTGTAGGCAAAAAGTAAGTAACCAGCAATAGTTCATTCTATTGAGGCGACGTCACACGCCAGGAGGATCAGCGGGCCGAACAGCGACGGGTCTTGGCCACGCGGGACTCCGGCGGGCGTTGACGAATACTTGTCCCTTACAACTCATGCCAGCTTTCGCTTCACACATCTTTACAGTCTCTCGCTTTTCGCTGCTGTTGCGCCTTTCTGCCTCCCGTCAGGTCTTTTGCGATCGGCAGATTATGTGTGCCTGGTCCCCGTACCAGAGACTCGCTGCTGGGCGTTAAACCGTCATCCGCGTCGTGATTGCGAGGGATATCCCCAAACAATGGCTACCCAAGTGATGGGCGACTTTTTACACCAGCTAATCCGTATGTCTCCAATTTCCCATGCGATATCAGTGGTTCAGTTAGGAGAATGTCAAGCTTCGGGTTGATGGTTGAGAGATCCCTGGGGCTTCCTCTGTGAGGAGGCGGCGGCGGCCCCTTGTGATGGATGCATACGCGGTCGGGCAATTTGAAACGAAAATGATCACTAACGACCTCGTGCTTTTCAGGGAGAGCTGTGGATTCGGATACGGACCCCGATGATGGTACGCGCATTATACTCCTTCCAAAATATTCTATCTCTGGTCTTGGCCATTCGATCTGACAATGTCGGATTTACAGCAGATGCTCCGGATACCGGCGATAAGGAGTTCTTCAGCTCCTGGGCGCTCTTCATCCTGATTATGTTATTGATGTTCGCGCTATTCACGAGTTACATTCTCCAACAGAAGAAGATTCAGGCGGTTCATGAAACAGTACTGTCTATATTTGCGGGTACGTCGATCGCAGCTTGGTTGTTTCCTTTTGGGATACTGTGAGGGTCAGGCGCTCATGGATTTGGGATAACTTTAGGCATGTTCGTCGGATTGATCATCCGGTTGAGTCCTGAGTCACCTATTCAGGATAGCGTCACTTTCGATTATCAATTCTTCTTCAACCTTCTCCTTCCTCCGATTATTTTGGCGTCGGGCTACGAATTACACCAGGCGAACTTCTTCCGAAACATCGGTACCATTCTCACCTTCGCATTCGCGGGAACGTTTATCTCTGCTATCGTGTTGGGATTGGTCTTGTTTGTCTGGACGAGAATTCCGTTGGATGGGTTGAATATTTCCTTCGTTGAGGCCATCGCAGTCGGTGCGACTCTGTCGGCGACGGATCCAGTCACCATCTTGGCTATCTTCAACTTGTACAAAGTCGAGCCGAAGCTCTACACGGTCATTTTTGGCGAGTCGATCTTGAACGATGCCATCGCTATTGTGTTATTCGAGACTGCGCAGAAGTACGCCGACAGTGATGCGGGTTCCTTGACTTTCTTGAACTTGTTCGAGGCTATTGGAGTGTTCTTGCTGGTTTTCTTTGGAAGTATGATGGTGGGTATCATCGTCGGTATCATGACTGCTCTGGGCTTGAAGTACACGCATGTGCGCCGCCAGCCCAAGATTGAGAGTTGCTTGATTGTCCTTATCGCCTATGCCAGCTACTTCTTCTCGAATGGTGTCTATTTGTCTGGTGAGTGATGTGCTTTTCACCAATGGTGTGAAGCAAGCTGACATTCTTAGGCATTGTGTCTCTTCTGTTCTGTGGAATCACCCTCAAACACTATGCATACTATAACATGTCGCGCCGTACCCAACTCACCACGAAATACCTCTTCCAAGTGATGGCGCAGTTGTCGGAGAACTTTATCTTCATCTATCTCGGACTCGACTTGCTCGTCCAAAGACATCTACAGTTCAAGCCTCTCTTTATCCTGGTCGCCGTTTTCGGTATCTGCATTGCGCGTTACTTGGCGGTGTTCCCGCTGTCCAAGGCGATCAACTGGTTCATCCGCTACAGAGCCCGTCGCCGCGGCATGGATGTTGCTGACGAGCTGCCCTTCGCTTATCAAGCAATGCTTTTCTGGGCAGGTCTGCGCGGAGCTGTCGGTGTTGCGCTGGCCGCGGGCCTGAAGGGCGTCAACGCCCCAGCGCTGCGAGCCACTGTTCTCGTGGTGGTGGTGTTGACCGTCATCATTTTCGGTGGTACGACGGCCCGGATGTTGGAGATTCTGGGAATCCGGACTGGAGTTGTCGAAGAGATCGAGTCGGATGATGAGTTTGACATCGAGGTCACCAACGGTGGCACCTACTACAAACGCTCTGATACAGGCTTGGGATACACGCCTCGCCGTATGGACTCGACCATTCCGTTGGACGGAGTGCCGCGCGGCGATATAGACCGGAACAACAGCTATTCGAGCGGCAACAACCGTCGCCCCAGTCCTCCTCCATCCGGCTCGGGCCGTACGCGAGGCCATGCCCGGCTCTATTCCAACGCATACAGCCAGAGAGACTCAGGGCGTGATCGTACGTCGACAGCCACGCTGCTGGGTGGTGCCGCCCGCAGCCACAGCGATAGCGATGTGGCCAGTGAGGACGAGTTTGGCTTGAGGACTACTGGAAAGAACCGTGTTGCAGACGCCGATCAATTGGACGCATTTGACCTTGATGTCGAGGATGCGCCGTCCGATGACGACCTTCCCCCGTCCGCCCCGGCGCCGACTACCTCGCGCCTCAGGCGATCCCCGTCCCAGCCTCAACAATATTTGGAGCCGTCGCAGACCACACCCCCTAACAATACCTCGCCCAACCGGCGCGAAACTGGACTGAGTGCTCGCGATGCCATTCGAGACCTCTTCTCGGGAGGACCGTCCGGGGACCACGCGGCGTGGTTCCGGCAGTTGGACGAAGATTATATCAAGCCTCGACTTTTGTTAGATCAGTCAAACCACAAGGGGCCTGGTGCTGTTTAGATGATACTCCATTCGTTTCCTTTATCCACCTTGTGTGTACTCATAATGCATGATTCCAACTTCTGTTCCACTGTTTCTTCTGCCAGCCTCCTATTTTTGGGATGGTTGTTCCTTCTGCTCGACCCCTGGGGGTCTGTCGGTGGTTGTAGCTCGCCCTGTTGCGTTCAGTAGCGAGTATGCTCCAGACAGCAATCCCCTTTTTCTTATGCGGGGGTGCTTGTATATTCTCTATATACCGGTGCAGCTGCTTTTGTATTGTTGTTCTTTGGCATAGCCGGGTCGGGACACCCTGGACACATGTCATTGTGTATGATTGCCATGTTTCATTTTAGATCTGAATGATTGAGATTCTTCTTGCTCGTTGAATTGCAATGAAGCACATGCGTAGGTAATATACTGCAATCCATAGATAGATAAGCCCATCAAGCCAAGCCCGTCTAGTCGGACAGGCCGATCCCCCTCTCACTAGTAGACGCGTGATTCCCCAGCTGGCAGTACCGGCAGAGTACTTACTGACTAGCAGTAAACCTCGGAACAATCCTCCTTCCCCCTCTCCTGTCACTTCCGATTCCGAATGGGCAATCGGCAATGGATCCTTCGCGACAAGCCTCTAGACTATTGGTGCCCCAGCGCGGGTTGTTATCAGACGCAGGATCATCCAGATTGGCTGCTCGGGCGTTGTGCTAGGTTTCCCCCGCGATAAGAGTCGTGATAACAACATCCCAGTCTTGCAGCTCTCCTGATCGATGGCGTCTCTCTCGTTCGTTCGTTCGTTGGTTGATTTTACTAGGATGTGGCTACTTACCTATTTGGTTGCGCGACGCCACCGATTTGTTGGGCTTATCGGAGGATGGAAGGATTATCAGCACTGTCTTTTTTCTTTCTCCCATTCGGCGTAAAAGATGGATGATAGATACTTGTTATACTCCCGATGGGTTGGAGGAGGAGGTCTGAAACCCCGCGCCGTGTACTCATTGGAACTAGTATAAGTTGGAGTGTCTGGTGCTTGTGCATCCTTCTGCTGTCATTCACGTTTCTTCTTTCATCGCTCTGTTTGTTATCTGCTGTTCCTTCTCTTTTGTCCATCATGGCGGAAAAGCTCAAGGATGCTGCTCGTGTGGCTGATGAAGATGCCCCCGTCGAGCAGGGGGATTCGCAGCTTTTGGGTATGCCATACTATCATCTTTACTTCTATCGAGTTGTTGGTTTTTTTCTTTTGGCTGGTTGTTTGTGCTGATCGCATCGGATAAGCTACGCTGGGGTATAAGCAGGAACTGCGTCGTCATTATTCCACCGTCCAGGTCTTCGCTATCGCTTTTAGTATCATGGGACTGTTGCCCTCGATTGCCTCGACACTTTCGTATTCGATTCCTGCTGGTCCTGCGGGCATGGTTTGGGTATGGTTGCATATGCATGCTGGATTTACATACATGGGGAATTCTTGGCTAACTTGAGTTAGGGTAAGGGTTTCGCTGTTGTTTGGTAACCTCTAGGTAGATATTCTGATGACTCGTGCAGGATGGTTCTCTGCCAGTGTGTTTATCTTCATCGTGGCTTTGGCGATGGTATGTTTGCTGCGCAATATCTCTCATGCTTATCGAATTGCTGAATGCTCACTGCTCCACTGGTATAGGCCGACCTAGCATCCGCCATGCCGACAGCCGGTGGTCTCTACTTCTGGACTCACTACTTCAGCGGCGAGAAGTGGAAGAACCCTCTCAGCTTCGTAGTAGGGTACAGCAATAGTCTGGGACTCATCGGCGGCGTCTGCTCCATCGATTGTATGCGAATCCCTCGAACCCTCCATGTCCTCCAATCGCTGACCCTAGCCGACAAGATGGCTTCGCTACAATGCTCCTCTCCGTCGTATCAATCGCGCGTGATGGAAACTGGACGGCCTCTCGACCCGTCCTATACGGCACCTACGTCGCCTGCGTCGTCGTCCACGGCCTCATCGCCATCTTCTGCGCGCGCATCATGCCCAAAATCCAGTCCGCCTGTATCGTGAGCAACGTCGGCCTCGTCCTGGCCACCGTCCTCGCCCTGCCCATCGGTAAAGCCGTCCGCGGGGGACAGATCAACTCGGGAACATATGTCTTCGGACACTCCGAGAACCTCACAACCTGGCCCCAGGGCTGGACCTTCATGCTATCATGGATGTCGCCCATCTGGACCATCGGCGCATTCGACTCCTGCGTGCACATGAGCGAGGAAGCGAGCCATGCGGCGCGTGCTGTACCCTTAGGGATCATTTGGTCTGCCGGACTCTGCGGACTGTTAGGGTTTGTATCTCTCGCGCTCATCGCTGCTGTGATCAACCCGGATCTTAATGCCGTGCTGAACTCGAGTTTCGGTCAGCCAATGGCACAGGTACTCACCCACCCCACCCACTTTCCATTCCCTCCATCTTATACCTATACCCTAGAATAGTACTAACCGAAGGTATGGATAGATCTACTACGACGCCCTCGGCAAAAGCGGTGCCCTGGGCTTCATGGTCGTCGTAGCAATCGTCCAATTCTTCATGGGCCTAAGCTTGGTACACCCTCACCCCCCCCCTCCCCTCCTCTTCCCCTAATCACCAACCATTCACCCATCACATACATCCTCACAAAACGAAACTCATAATATAATAAAACAGGTCGTCGCCGCCTCCCGCCAAAGCTGGGCCTTCTCCCGCGACGGCGCCCTCCCCTTCTCCTCCTTCTTCCGACACGTGAGCAAACGCGTCCGCTACCAACCCGTCCGAATGGTCTGCTTCGTCGTCCTTGTCTCCATCATCCTAGGTCTCCTCTGTCTTATCGATGAAGCCGCCTCTAGCGCCCTCTTCTCCCTCGCCGTCGCGGGCAATGATCTCGCCTGGATGGTCCCCATCCTTAGTCGTCTTGTCTGGGGTAAGGAGCGGTTTCATCCGGGAGAGTTTTATACGGGGTGGTTTAGTAAGCCCATTGCTGTTACTGCGGTGGTTTATTTGGCGTATGTTATTGTCTTGAGTATGTTTCCGACGGGGGGAGCAAATCCTTCACGTAAGTCTATATCCCTTCCCTGTCTCGGTTGGGTGGTTGGGGGTGGGAGTTGGGTTGTTGAAGAGAGAATGAAAGCTAATATATGTGTGTGTTGGTGTGGGTGTAGCGCAGGATATGAACTATACAATTGTGATTAATGGGAGTTTGTGGTTGGGCGCGATGGTTTATTATGTGGTTCATGCGAGGAAGGTGTATAGAGGGCCGCAGATGACGGTGGGTGGGGGTGGGAGTGGGGAGTCGAGTGGGGATGAGATGAAGTGATGGGTTTGGTTTTGTGTGTTTATATTATTATTGTTTGGTTGGATGTATGGATTATGGATGGGGGCTGATGGTGGGTGGTATCATAGAGGGATTACTGCTATTTCAATCGCAAGGAACATTGTTAATTTGTATAGAATCATGGTGGTAAGTAGAGTGTGCTGTATCCCTGAATGAAGGGCAGATTAGTGTACTCTATCTACTATATAGATATTTGATTAGATACTAACTAGGTACGCGGAAATGTCCTCCGTAGGCTGGAGTAATTGCACCAGGGCGTGCGTGCGTGCGTGCTTGTTCACGGAAGCTCTATTACTTGGTATATGTCATATCACATGTGGGAATTATTTTATTTCATTTATCATGTTTAGTATGCCATAGAGACATTATCGTAGTCATTAACCTATCACAGTAGTAGTTCAGGACTGGCTAATACACTCTGTCCAGCAACTCGTGAAGCCAATCCCCAACGCCAGTTCTTTCCGTGTCTACTCGCTTACTGAGGTACTTCAAGGACATACCGACCGGCGATCTGGCCTTGTTCTGTTGGCTTGTTAGTAACTTGAGTGAGATATAAGCAAGGTATACAACATACCCATCAGTTCGAAGATGCGCGGCAAATCCTCCAAAGGAGCCGTCTTGAACGGAGCCTTGATGAGTCCGCGAGCAAAGAAGTCTACGGCTTCCACGCCATCCTGTCGGTTGCCAACGTAGCTTCCCTTGATGTTGATCATACGGACAACGGTGTTGAAGACAGGGGCTCGAAGGAACGCGCCGGCTGGCAGGCCGATAGCGACGACACTGCCCTTGGAGCGAACGTACTCGGTTGCTTGCTGGAAGGGCTTTTCGGCCACAGCGAGAAGGATCACAGCATGAGCACCCAGTCCTTCCGGAGTGGCTGCCTTGACGTCTTCAACTACGTCCTTTGATGTCTTGAAGTCGATGTATGCCTGCATTGTGGGAGTGTGATTAGCCACATGTGTTGGTATCGGGAGAATGGGGGCTTACCTCTGATCCTAGTTTCTCGCACATAGCTCTCTTCTCATCGCCACCGTCGATAGAAATGGTACGAAGTCCCATTGCCTTGGCGTACTGCAGCGCCAGCGATCCGAGTCCACCTCCGGCGCCGACAATGGCAACGGTCTGGCCGGGACGGGCTCCAGACTCCTTCAATCCCTTGTAGACGGTGATACCGGCACAGAGGATCGGAGCGACAGCATCAAGGGGAACTTCCTTGGGGAGCTTCGACGCATGACTGGCCTTGGCGACGGCATACTGCTGGAACGTACCATCGACGGTGTAGCCGGAGAGCGAAGCGTGAGGACAGAGGGGTTCGTCGGCCTGCTTGCAGAACTCACAAGCCAAACAGGATCCGTTCAACCATTTGATACCAGCGTGGTCTCCAACTTCAAACTCATTGACGAGTTCACCCGTGGCGACGACCACGCCAGCTCCTTCATGTCCGCCCACGAGCGGAAGCTTCAAATCGAGTGGCCAGTCACCCTTCATGGCGTGCAAGTCGGTATGGCAGACTCCGGTATACCGGATCTTGACCAAAATCTCGTCCGGGCCAGGCTTTGCAACCGGAATCTGCTTGTAAACAACGGGACCACCTTTCTTCTCGACCACTTGGGCCCATTGCTTCTCCGGGATAGTCATGTTGGCAGACCGGGGAATCGGTTGAGATAGTAGATGACAAAGATACGATGTGATGTGAAGCTGATGAAAGCAATTGATTTTTCTGTGAGACGAATAATCAAGGTCTCCCAGGTCAAGGGGCGAGAAACCTTCGTGGCTTTATGTAGTTGCGTCCTGGTGGTGTTACCGGGTATGACGGACAGGTGGGGTGATGTCCGCCCATCGCCGGAAGTGAATTGGGATCGAGTGACGTCGAACCAGGAGGATCCAGTGGCAGGACAGGGATTCATGCCAGGAGATACTGACAAGGAAGTAGTAGTCACCGAGCCTAGAGCTGGCTCTTGGTCTTTCGGCCGGGCGGCCATCCTCGGGCTTACAGCATGCCCAATTCAGTAAGGGACGATATTCACAGACAGCCCAGTAAAGATGTGTGCCCCAAGCCACTCTTGGAAAATATCCCGCATCAATGTCTCAGTGAGTTTAAGTGGTTGAGGATCCCGATCCATGGCTGTCGGGATGGCGGGACATGGCAGACGGGATAGACGTCATGGAAACTCAAGCTCTCTCCGCAGTTTCCATTCGCGGGAAATGCGTGGGGGGAAATGGACATCCTGAAACCCCAGCTGTATACGAGGAACGCTGGCTATAAAGACCCTCTATTATCAGATCCCCGCTATTAGAACCGCATTAAGTCGGCCCAGCCCCAGCGTGCAGCATCTGTTTCGTGTTGGCAAAGAGGGGTTGATTATTCCGATGGAAGGTTGAGAGCGAGAGAGGCGCGGATGACGCGGACGAACGGCTTCCTTCTCGGGATTTCCCCAGTCTATAGATTTCCCCAGTCTATAGCACTCAATTCTATCAAAATCTGCAGCAATGAAGGCAGGTAGCAGAAGCATGCTTGCGGATAGATCTTCTACCACGGCAGATTTCACGGCGCATGGTTGGACGGGCGATCCGAGGGCATTAGGCCGATCATTCTTATCGCTGCCTTGGGCCTCACCCAGGATCGTTGCATCGCATCCCTTTGTCTCACCCCAAATTCAAGAATGTTCCTTAGTTCCTCTGCGTCACCTTGTGATTAGTTCCTATACCTCGAACTCTTCGTGCTCTGCCGAATCCCGTCCCTGGCTGGTTTCTCCGCAGATGAACTCTCATTGCTGCGGCTAGATTGCATGGGATTCGCAGGCCTCAGCCGATCTCGCAGCTTCCCGGTGGTTCAATGGCATCACCAGTGAGTGGTGGTCAGACATGATAAGAACACAATATCATGATCAGTGGCAGTATCATCAGAGAACTGAATCTGCGGAAGCTTCCAGGCAAAAAGGGCAGATGGAAGGTTGAAAAAGCCCAGTTGTGGATGGTCTGATCGAGTACCTCCGGGGCACCCACCTGACCACGAGCCCATCTTAACCCTTTTCGGGGGTGTTCTTAGCAATGGGTCTGGTCATGCTGTTTAACTATTACAATGAGATCTATAGAGTCTGTTTAATGATTAACCTAAAGCAAACAACTTGATCAGCCGATCCAACATGAATGGGATGCTAGGACGCTAGGTTGCTAGGTAAGGATTGATGCTTGAAATAGCACCTCAGTCGCTACTGAGTAATAGACTGCGAATTTAGAGATATTAGGTGATTTCTCTTTTCTCTAGTCTTGAACATACTTTACTTGCAGCTTGGGTAGAAGAACGTGTTGCAACGGGGTCATCATGTACACCTGTTGCAGCGCCGGCTGAGCCCTGATCATTGGCATGGGCCGGGGTCGTACAACTGTTTGCAAAACACTTATTAAAGAGAGGCTAGAAGCTTTGATTCAAGGTTCTATAAGTAGTACAAAGAACTACTCTTGCAAGATTCGTAGCATTTGAAGCCATTACCAGGCGAATATTTAGCTACAGAGTAGCACCCATGCCCTTCTGCCTAGATAAGTAGTTCTAGTACCATATAGACATCCCTTGGTAGAGAGACGAGTCAACTCCCCTTTATGAACAAGCACCTATCTAATTATTGGTGCAACTCCTCGTTCGGACAAGCGTTGCGTTAGTATGTAACCATCAGCCGCAGTCCAACCGGAGAACGTCTACTCTGGGGTTGTCATTGGACATCAATGCCAGACGATCTCATTGTGCGTGGCACTAGACTTTGGTGGCGGTAGCTCCGGCAAGATACATGGGGGGTAGCTCCTCATCACCCCCGGGATAAGGTAATTGCCACGCTCCATGTTCAACCGCCAGTTTGAAGCTATCGGCATTCTAGAGGAATTAGAAACACAGAGGTGACAGAGATAGCTATTGAACTTCAATTCTGTCAGAAATGCTGAGATGGCAAAGTATTGCGATCTCCAAGCGTGCTTGTTAGTAATTGATGATGTAGTCTTGAACCGAAGTCGCGAGATGCCGGGAACACAATATGGATGGATCCTGGACATGGCAAGACGCCGGCGTAGTTAACTCGACTTATCTACGGCTGTAGGGTCTACCTAGTCCATGTACGCCGGACAATGTAAGCCGATGCAGGCGCTTCAAATCGTGTCAAAATCCCCTGGAGGGGCAGCAGCACACGCGACCATCCTTCCCCCTCATGATCAGGTGTACGATGAAGTGTCCTGTTTTGTGAGATTTTGGAGAGCGTGATGGATGATGGGAGAACCGGGGGACAGAGTTGGCGGTAATCTCCATAAAAACCCGAAGAGTCCGTCAGTCACAGTCAGTTGCTCTCTCCGTTCCCGATCGAAAGGCGATGATGTCTGGAGACGGTCATTACCTGTATCGAACTAAACAGTTCGGTCATGGAACGGAGCCTCCCCGGTCCAGATGCAGGAGAGATCGATGGAGATAGAGGAGGTAGTGTTATACTTTTTTTTCGATGAAGAAAAGTATGCAATAGCCGTTGTGTAGATGATTGTCTGCCTTGTATAGAATAACACCAATATTCAGGAAAAATTCCATGTCCTAGACAGGAGAAGGCTAGGAGAAGGCTGGAAGAAGGCATCGAGCTGCTGCGAACTTCAGCTGTGGTGATCTGGGCAACGGCTAGTGGTCAGTAACACTTCGTAACGGTAATACCAATACATACGGACAGGTGCGGGATTGGATGGGGAAAGCAGAAAGAAACGAAAGAAGGAACGAGACAAGATGAGGGAAAATGAGGGAGAAAGTTGGCCCAAAGGGGGGGAAAGGGAAGCAGCAGCGCAAAAAAAAAAATCAAAAATACTGGAACCATCGCCATCATCCTCTTCATCATCCATCCATCCATCCCAATCCCAATCCCCAGTGAGATTAATCTTCATCTCGAACTTCCATCTTTATCATCATCATCTATGTATTCTGCCATCTCCTCCCCGGAGCACGACCCCATTCACCACCACCACGTCTAGCTAAGGAAGGAAAGGTATCTCAATCTCAGAGGTACGATACACTACACTACACTACACTACAACACCAGACCTGAACTGAACTGAGATCATCACCCTCCACTCTTCTTTCCCCTTACCTGCTGCTCACCTCCTCCATCTTTCACATTTACATCCACATCCACATCCACATCCACCTCACTCCCTCCCCCATCTCAATCCCAATCCCAATTCTCCATCAATTCTTCTTGAGCGTCTCCGTTGCGAACATTGCTGGGTTTCTCAAGTAGTGTTCTCAGCCGGCCCAGGACCATTCCCCGATCGGGTAGCCCATTCACGGCTTGGCTGGGCCTGTGTTTCTTGTCGCATCCTGTCCGGAACGGTTGACCCGTGGAGGTTTTGTTGGCTCGCTCACCACAAGCACTTTGGAGCCCTCCGAAGATTCCTGTCAATCCGGTGAGGCGATCCTCCCTTTTCCACCTCATCCTTCCCTGTCTTTTTCTTCCATCTTCCCCCCCTCCCATCATCTCCTGCCTTCATATCATCGCCATCCTTCCTCCCAAGAACCTCCAGCCTTCCTTCTCCACTTCTCCCCATTTAGGCCTCTCAGAATTAATTCCTTCCGCAGATAGCTGGGACCAGCTGCGGCAACCAACCCGACGCGTGATCGCCCCCCATCGAGATCTTCCTGAGATAAATCCTCTCGAACCCCCCTTCGCGCATGGCCTGCCCTCGTTCTTCATAACGGTCCTTGTTCGCCCCGAACACGTTTTCTCCCCTTCCTCCTCCAACCACCCCCATCGCCTTCGCGGTCCCTGTTGCTGGCACCATCTTCTAACACTCGCCGCCGCGTTCCCCGGCACACGCGGCCACCATGACGGGGGCTCCGCCTTATAATCCTCAATCTCCCACGCAGCAGTCTCGCTATCCGGTTTATTCCCCCCCGACTAAAAGCCGCCCTTACTACGCCAACAATGAACAATACCAGCAACATCCACCCCAGACGCCTCCTGCCTTCTCGTCCAGGAGCCCTCACTTCTCCCATGCGCCTTCCCCGTTGCCAGGCACTCTGCCGCCATTGAACGGCGCCGCGCCGCCGTCATCTCATCCCTCGGAACCGCCGTCGCAATACCAGGCACATTCTTCGGCTGGAAACCCACAGTTTGCTCTCCCGCGGCCCTATCCTGGCTCCGTCTTGTCAGGCAACGGCGCATCTCCCTACGGTCACTCAACACCGTCCCACGCCCATCCCGCTGGTCGGCCCGATAGTCATCCCCAAACCTCACCCAAGAAGGAGACAGATTCCCAATTTTCCATGGGCACTCACGGTGTTATGGGTTATCCATCCTCCTCTGCGGTGCGCGAGCCACGAGCGTCTTCACCCCCCAAGGACGTGGTATGTTATCCCCTTGTTAGTCATGGCCACATTTCCCTACACATTGACTGACGCTGTGATGCTCTGCTACGTGTAGAAACCGACGAGGGCAGCAGATCCCATGTCTTTTGCCAGCATTCTCTCCGGACCGACTGAGGAGCGCGCTCCTCCCCCGAGACAATCTTCTGCCGAGGCTACCCCAACTCCCCTAGCGCCCGCAGCAACAGCCCAACCCAGTCTCAGTCCTCCGCCCGTAGCTTCGGCTGCTCCTTCACAAAAGTCCAAAGACCGGGCACCGCCTCTCACCGCCTCTCTACCGAGACTGGAGAAGAAGCCCACCACGGAGAAACGCCGTCGCAATCCACCGGAAACTGAGCAAAAGACAGCCGACTCACGGGCCTCCAATGTGGCCAACGGCGTCTCTGAGTCTTCAAAGACGCTCGCTCAGCCTCGTGGTGCCGGATCTCGGCAAGTGATGTCTGAACGGGAGACAGAAGCCCTCAACAAGGCGTTGGCTGATATGGCCGAAGCGGACAAGAGCGATGTGGAATCCCCTGGTTACGACCGGTTCCGGGAGGAATATCGCGCCAAGGGCAAGAAACGTGCCTTTGCTACTGAACAGGCCGAAATCCTGAGACGCAAGGTAATGCAATGACTTCTATCATATGCAAAATCTTCTGGATTTACTGACACGGGTTCTAGCGCCGCCGAAATGACTTCCTCGTCAAGCTCAGCAAGTCCCTCGAGAAACAAGCGACTGCCGGCATGGACCGATTCCGATATGCAAACGAGGCATCCGTCGTTGCTGAAGTCCAGGCGAAAGAGATTCAGGATGAAAAGGAGCGCAAGAAGGACATGCAACGCAAGCGGCGTCGTGAGAACACGGTGCGCATGGAGATGCAAAAGAAGAAGGAAGCAGAGGCCAAGGCGCACGAAGCTCAGGATTCTGCGGAGAAGGCCAAGTTCCTTCGTGAAGCTGAACGGGCACAAAGGAAGATTAAGACCACCAAGAGAGCTCTCGAGGGGATCACTGCCCCAGAGGAGATCAGCGAGGTCACTCCATTGGCCCCCAATCTCGAAGGCGGCACTACCAGCTCCTTCCATATTGGCCGGGGCTCGCCGTCGAGACGCAAGTCCGGTCGCGGTGGACCGGTCACCCGGCCAAAGAAGTCGAAAGAGCAAAAGCAGGCCGAAAAGGACGCTGCAGAGGCTGCTTATGCCGCTATGGAGAATGACGAACCTCTGCCTATCGCACCTAAGGAGGACCCCCGAAAGGAGTCTCTCAAGAAGGAGGTTAAAGGTGGCCGCTCCAAGGAGCCCACGCCAACGCCCTTGTCCGCCTACGAGACTAAAGGCTATAACCAGATTTATGAGCAGATCTGGCGTGACATTGCCCGGAAAGACATTCCCAAAGTCTACCGCATCAAGGCCTTGTCCCTCAGCACCCGTCAGGAGAATCTACGCAAGACAGCTCAGCTGGCTAGCAAGCAGTCCCGCAAGTGGCAGGAACGCACAAACAAGAGTATGAAGGATACGCAAGCCCGCGCCAAGCGCACCATGCGTGAGATGATGTCATTTTGGAAGCGTAACGAACGAGAGGAGCGTGATCTTCGCCGTCTTGCAGAGAAGCAAGAGATTGAGTCTGCTAAGAAGGCGGAAGCAGAACGCGAAGCCAACCGTCAAAGGCGCAAGCTTAACTTCCTCATCTCCCAAACAGAACTGTATTCTCACTTTATTGGCCGAAAAATCAAGGGCGCAGAAGATGCTGCCGGGGACACAGCCGTGGAAACGACGGGTGAGACCGTCCAGCCCGGCAAGGGTCAGGATCATACTATCGGCATGCCCTCCAGTGTTGCTGATGCAGGCACTAAAGTTACGAACTTTGAGGATCTTGACTTTGATGCCGAAGACGAGACCGCCTTGCGGCAGGCCGCCATGGCTAACGCCCAGAATGCTGTTCAGGAAGCGCAGGATCGAGCACGCGCCTTCAACTCTAATCAGGACCAGATGGATGCCTTGGATGAGGGCGAACTGAACTTCCAAAACCCTACAAGTCTGGGAGATATCGAGATCTCGCAGCCCAACATGCTTACCGCTAAGCTCAAGGAGTACCAACTGAAGGGTCTGAACTGGCTAGTCAACTTGTACGAGCAAGGTATCAACGGTATCCTAGCCGACGAGATGGGTCTGGGAAAGACCATCCAATCCATCTCCGTCATGGCTTATCTCGCCGAGGTACACAACATCTGGGGTCCGTTTTTGGTTATTGCGCCCGCTTCAACCTTACACAACTGGCAGCAGGAAATCACCAAGTTTGTTCCGGATATCAAGGTGCTTCCCTACTGGGGTTCTGCCAAGGATCGTAAGATTCTCCGCAAGTTCTGGGACCGCAAGCATATCACCTACACCAAGGAATCGGAGTTCCACGTGCTGGTGACGTCGTATCAGCTCGTCGTGCTTGATGCTCAGTACTTCCAGAAGGTGAAATGGCAGTACATGATTCTGGATGAAGCCCAGGCCATCAAGTCCTCGCAGAGTTCACGATGGAAGAACTTGCTTGGATTCCACTGCCGTAACCGTCTCCTTCTTACCGGTACACCGATTCAGAACAATATGCAGGAGCTGTGGGCCCTTCTTCACTTTATCATGCCGACATTGTTTGATTCTCATGACGAGTTCAGCGAATGGTTCTCTAAGGATATTGAATCTCATGCCCAGAGTAACACGAAACTCAACGAGGATCAGCTGAGGCGTCTACACATGATCTTGAAACCTTTCATGCTGCGTCGTGTGAAGAAGCACGTCCAGCAGGAGCTTGGAGATAAGGTCGAAAAGGACATTTTCTGTGATCTTACCTATCGCCAGCGGGCCTATTATACCAATCTACGGAACCGCGTCAGCATCATGGATCTTATCGAAAAGGCTGCCGTCGGTGACGAGGCCGATAGTACGACCCTGATGAATTTGGTCATGCAGTTCCGTAAGGTCTGTAACCACCCTGACCTGTTCGAGCGTGCCGAAACAAAGTCTCCCTTCTCTACCGCCTACTTTGCCGAGACGGCGTCGTTTGTTCGGGAAGGCAGCAACGTCGATGTCAGGTACTCAACCCGCAATCTGATTGAATACCCCATGCCACGCCTTCTTTGCGGTGCAGACGGTCGTGTCGATATTGCGGGCGCTGAAAATCCTCACGCCGGATTCCGCGGACGATACCTAAACCACTTGATGAATATCTTCACCCCGGAGAATATGAAGCAAAGCATTCAGGACGACGGAGCGTTCTCTTTCCTGCGTTTTGTTGATACATCACTTGGTGAAGCATGCGAGCAATCGCACCTCGGAGTCTTCGAGCGAGCAGTCCGCCGCCGGGGTCAGGTTAACAGGTTATCC